TTCTACAAGAGGTCCAAAAACTTTCAAATGATATTACCTATCAAATAAAAAATAGTTGGCACTATTGCCCGAAAGAGGAAAAAGTTATTTATTTATTATAAAGCCTAGTGTTACATACACATAAAAGTATTTACACGCGTCCAAAAAAAATGATAAATAACAATACACATAATGATAGCAATTAACTAACAGTTATACAAATATACATAAACAACATATAATTAAAATAAGTAGGATAAACGACACACTAAGATTAATGATAACATTCATATTCGAGTTACATTACTGTCAATAAAATCATCAAATGTTTAGTACCGACCCGCGTTTTACTAAGTCTTAGAAATTTATTAGGTACATAAGTATGTGTTCTTTCGGGTATTATAAGAGTGAGTCTCACTTCTAATTTCAAAGTTATGTATGCTTTTTGACTGAAGTATATATGCACAGGGTACAGTTAGTATGTTATTTCAACTTGTTAACTAACTAACTAACAATATGTTAGTTCAACTTGGAGAACTGCTCTCTACAATCATCTCTAAGGCCAAGGTCAGATATGATTCTAATAATTTTTCTCTGGAGAGTAAAAACTTTTTTCATAGAGGGGGCATGACGCAATACTAAAATAGCATATGTTATGATGGAATGGATATAGCCATGATAAACTATCAGCAAGATTGATATTGTGACTCTTTGTTTGAGACTCCGGAGTAAATAAGTATGTTTTGGAGCAAACATAATTAACACGTTCGTCCCATGTCAGTTTAGAGTCAAGATGAACTCCCAAGAATTTTACATGTGCTGGATTATCCAAGTTTTCTATATTCCGGAGACTAAAAATCATAGTTTCGGTCTTCGAAGTATTCAAACTGAGTTGATTACTGGTAAACCAGTTTTCAACCGACGCATGTTGGTCATAAGTTGATGTCATCAGCTGTTCAAAGTTTAAGTTGGTTCTAATTATATTGGTATCATCAGCAAAGAGTATACTTTTAATATCATGACGTAAACAATTAGGAAAATCATTAATATATGTCAGAAATAGTGACGGACCCAATATGGAACCTTGTGGAACTCCATGTTCAATATTCTTTGTGGATGATTTCACATTATTATATACAACATACTGTAATCTATTACTCAAATATGATCTCAATAAATCCGAACTGTACGATGAAAAACCATAATTATGTAGCTTATGTATAAGAACTTCGTGTGATATACATACAATCGAAAGCTTTTGTCAAATCTAAAAATTGACTAACAACGTATTTCCCTTCTTCAAAACTATTGTTTATTGTAGATGTTAGACGGATATTATCACCATATATAAATTTTGTAGGAATTGTAAGTTTTAACACCAAAGTGTTAGATTGGAAGTAAAAATCCACACTACAAAAATAATCAAAATCGAATAATACATATTCGAGTTATTTACCTACAAAATTTATAAAATTTTCAAGAACTTTGAGGTTATCTGGCGGCCAAACGAAGCGATTTTGTGGTGAATTGGCCTAAATCTGCCTATTTTGAGTCCACGAATCAGGTTTGACCCATATTTGGACCAATTTTCACCCAAAAATTTCACTTTTGTCCAAAATTTGTCATGAAATCATGAATTTTGACTACAGGGCCGTGTTCGCGCATCGATTTCCTTCAGAAATTATATGTGGCTTTATTGAGTTTGAACTTTTTTTTGTGTGGCTGTGTTATCTTAGCGAAACTTTCTTGTTGGTCGATTTCTCTCAGTAATGTTTCTTTGGATTAATGTTAATGCCAAATTATCATATTTTGAATTAAAGGTAATCAAACTATAGTTGTTACGATTTCAATTGGAACCGCTTAAAAAGATTTAACTCATAAATTCTACGGAATCCATAGCCTCTAGAAAAATTTAGCCCTGTCTCGTCTAGATATACTATATTCCGAGCTATATTACCATATAATTACCAAATGATTGTCAAGTTTTTTTATGTTTAAAATCGTATTGTAATAAAGCATGTCGTAAAATATCTAAAGATTTATAACTATAATCAGGTTAATCGCTTAATTTATTTCGAATCATGTTTAAAGTAGGAACTTTATTTTCTTCATACATATTATAAATTGTGCGCCGCATTACATCTGGTAAAATCGAAAATTTTCTTTAATTTTGTATTTTTCCGTTTCCTCTTTATACCGTGATCAACCCTTCTTTAATAACGGGATAAATTGTCGTTTTTGATATCTTAGTTAATTCGTTAATACGTTTCCTAACTTTTTATCACATTATTCCCTATTTTCAATATTCAAACATTCATATATATTTAATATAATACTTTTACTTTGTACGAGTAAATCTTTATTTTCAAACTATGAGTTTGTTTCGATACTTTCGACAAAAACCGCCCACTAAACACGAAACGTAAATGAAACGTTGCAAATGAGATGTTTTACTAAACATTTGAAACATTAACTAGAAACGTTTCTGTTTCATTACAGAAATGTAGCACTTGAAAACTTATTTAGTGAAACATAGCCGAAACGTTACAATTGAAGAGAGTTTGAAACATTACTCGAAACATTCCCTTTCGATCTCGGAAACATAACAGACGAACAACCCTTTGCTATTTTTGCTTATCTTATGGAACATTCGGCATTAGTTAAATTTTGCTCTCAATCCCCAATCCTTCTCAAGCGTTAGTTCATTTGCCTTTGTTATATAAAGACATAATTAAAAAAAAATGTGGTAGCATATTTGTAACACAAGTCTAGAAAAAATGTATGTTCGTGACTTGCGTAGACTGCGCGTAACAGCCCGAGTTTATTTGTTTCCCGTATGTCGTTTCAATTCGTATTATGTTAGGTTAGGTTTGCGGTTTGTCAGTTTGCTTGGTTTCGTTGTTATTCATCTTTACTTTGACGCTATTTTATGTGATAATTTGTAGTGTGTGCAGTTGTGGTTATTGTAAGGTGCATATAAAATAATGAATATTGATGCAAAATGTTTAAAACGATATGTGTAAAGAGATTTCCAATTTTGCGTCACATCTACCTAAATTTAGTTATACCCACTACTATTACAGACAAGAGGACAAGGGACAAGAACTAAGAAAATGGAACAACAACTATACGTTTCGATATAATTTGAAGAGCAACTACTTAGTCAGTGAGAACTATTTGAAATATGGATGAATCAAGTGAAATAGACGTCGTTTATTTTATATTTTGTACAAATGTTTATATTTGTTTATGTGTATAGGCATGCTTAAATAAAAGAGTTTAGGTATACCTACAGATATTTACTTTATATCATTCTGTATTCTTATTTCTGCTGTATAATTTATTATTATTAAAAGGATATATGTAATATTGACCATGCGTAGAAGAAATTATAACTTTATATTATTTTTCAGTAATGTTATTTGTTTTTTATGTACCTACCATTTTAAGATTCATAATCATAACTAACTTTTTCTAATTATCAGTTCGTCATTGTTACCATATTCATGAAGGTCTCAACATTAGAAAATTTCCATTTCAGAAGTGTATTTGAACTATATAAAATGTGTAGCTTTTTTTTAATGCTTCTGATATTGTTTTGTGATATTTTTATTTGTACGATGAATGGCAAAATTCATAATCCATATTAGAAACTTTTTTCAGTGGCTTCTCAAAAAGAAAGAAATTCTTAGTAAAAGTTGCCGCATCCCCAAACTAGAAGAGCATATTTATTTTTTTTTAATATACAATGTAACTTTTTTTAGTTCGAATTAAGTACAATACAAATAAAAATATCACAAAGGAGTATTAGAGATTTTTAAAAAAATACTCACACTATTTATACTATTTCAAAAACGCTTTTGAAATGAAAATGATCTAAAGTTGAGAGCATTATGAGAACAATATGATAATAAAATTATTATGTTACTCAAACATTTCTGAAAATATACTGAAACGTAAAACAAAAATATCGAGGGCATAAATGGAACATAAAAAGTATGTTACTGAAACCAATTTTTTGAAACGTTTCATTGGAAACGTATTTTGGGGAGGACATCTTGGGCTTCTAGAACGTTACCAGAACGTTGCATGGATTTTTTATGAAACGTTTCAAGAAAAATGGAAACGTTTCTGAAACATGTCAGAAACTGAAAAATGTTTAGTGGGCGGTTCCACTATTTGGAGATTTACCGAGTTATTTCGTTATCCTCCGCTTCAAAGAGTCTCCAGAGAGCCACGCTAAATTATTAGATAATTACATATAACATTTATTTTAATAACTATTACCCTTTACTGGTTACGGTATGAACAAATAATAATATCAACTAATAAATAATAATACGTATTATACCAACAACATACCGCGCAATGCTCTGCACTGCACTGGTAAAGATAAGTGAACCCGTGTACCATGCAAAAAAAATATTTACGACCTAGTGGACCGATACAGGTTTGCTTTGATGACCAGCGCGCCGCTGTCAATTCTACATAAGGCGGATTAGTTTACCAATACCGGACTCGCCGTATTGCTATTTGAGTATAAATTACGAGACGCATCATGGTCAAAGCATAGGAAGGAATTTCAGGAGAAGGGCATACGGTCTTGTGCTTTAAGATTTACAGGTTCCAATTCACATCGTAACAACTATACCACTTGTGCTCCTTCTTTGAAGTACATCTATAAAATTACCTATCTCGATGCAAAACTTGTTGATTGTTTAATTGGGTGATTTTGAAAAGTTCAATGATTTGAAAAAAAAGTTAACTTCTACATCTGAACAAAATTTACACGCTTTAGTTGTCCCACAATAATTTTTTAGTAATAGTTAATTTATAATTTCACTCCCCCTCGAAATATGCCAATATCAGGCCTAAGCAAAAAATCGAAATGTCAGTGGTACCCAACCACCCAATCAATAATACACATACACCAACAAAAAACCCAAAAATCCACCTCCCTGCACCCACCCTAACCCCCGACTACCCACCAACAATAACCACCCGGTTACATAACTTTGCAGGACGTCGATAGTGCCCCTGTTCCTGCTGGTGGGCGTGGCCCTTCCCGGCTACATCCCCTACCACATGGACACCGCGGCCCTGCAGCCAATCGTCACCACCTCGCAGGAGCGCCGCATCTGCGCCGAGCTGTGCATGACGGGGCTAGGAGGGACCCCCTGCGGCGATGACTGCGTGGATTTCACCCCCCAGGGCTTGCCCTTGCAGTCCCTCAACGGATCGACGACTGTTAAGTTCGGCGTCGCGACGCGCCACGAGGCCTGCATCGTCCTCTGCGAGAACCAGCTGGGCGAACCGCTATGCCACTGCAACGAGACCACCACGGGGAAGGTCGCCAAGAAGCCGGACTTCATGCAGGTATGCGGCTTCTTCTGCGTGCGCTACGACTACCGCATCTACGGCTGTCAGACGTGTTCCTTGTACAAGAACGCGACGGAGGCGAGGATGCTGAGCTACGTAGGGGTGTCCACCAATTCCGAGGACGACGACGACGGCGGGGAAGGCGAGCCCGTGGTCAACTGGGATCTGTGGTGCCAGAACATGTGCCAGGAGGGCAACGGCGGGGCCGCTTGCAACTGTGATCTGCTGCCCATGAGCCTGGAGATCTAAGGAGGCTTTAATTTTTCCTGTCTAAATGTATTAGGGATTGCTAATCGAATGTAGTAGTGTTAAGTATGTATATTATTTTTTGGATCGTTGTTTGCATTCCGATTCGTTCACCCCAGCGATTTGTGCGGCAGCTGACGATTTTAGGCATGGTAAGAATTCATATGTCAAAACCAGATACGTCCTGACAGTCATCCAAAAAGTTGTAGCTATTATGTGGAAGATGTAAAACTATTTCGAATAAGCTTATAGTGCCTAAATAACTTTAAAATTATTATTTCCAGGAAATATTATCTTATTGGCCGTATGTAATTATTTATTTGCAGCATTTTCCGTTACCCGTTTATTTGATTAGGACTGCAACACGGAAGAGGAAAAAATGTTAAATAAATAACATCTTGCACCAGAATGGACCAGTCAATTTTATAAATTTAGTTTAGCCTGACCGGAAATATATCGCACTGAAGAAATAGGTAAGTAATAATTCTTTACGACTACTGAAACTAATTACACAGTTAACACTCTGTTTTCGTTATCAAAACCTTAGTTAAACTTTAAAGTGTTGATGTGTATTATATTTCAATGATTATTGTGTAGTCCTGATCCAGAAGAATTACCTACTTTTCCAGTGTGTGATATTTCTGTTTAGGCAAAAGTGAATTTGTAAAACCTCATTTTTGGAGTAAAGAATTTAAAATTTAATTTCGAGTCGTCAAAATAACAAATAAAAGTCTTATGAGGAAAAGTCCAGAAAAGCTTTATTTTCGAGATACTTACAGGGTTTTTGTATTTGAAAAAAAATCGTACGTTTTCAAAAATATCTCTGAAGTTCTTTGACGGAGAGTGATATAACGCAGAACTGTAATATACAGGATGGTCCCGAGGTAATGGGCCAAAATTCATGGGTAGATTCACGAAGCAAAAATATTGCGATTTAGCCGAACTTACCTTAGTCCAATAGTTGATAGTTAAAGAGATACAGAAAATTTTGGGGTTTGAGGTTCTTTGGATAGAGGAATTGAAATTTGTTCACATTTTGGTTATAGTTCATAGAGGGCGCCAGCTGCCGTAGATTGAAGATGTTGGAAACGACATAACTTTTTTATACTTAAAGGTATCTCATCTTTGGTATCAAATTCTCATTTTCCAACTTTTTTACACAAATAAGGTAGACTTTATGAAAGTAGCTGTCTCGCACCGTTTCCGAGATGTTTGGCTTTGAAACTTCCAATGCTAATAGTTGAAATAATTAAAATAATTTAGAAATGTCAAAAACAAGATTTTATGTAGAATTAAAAATTGTAATGCACAGTAAAATAGTAAAAATTAGTAAAAAAATATGCCTTTTTGACAATAATTGCTCAAAATGTCCACCTCTAACTTCAATACATTTATCAACACGTTTATTAAGAGATTGTCTTATTTTAAAGTATAAATCCTTAACGCGAAATAACTTTGCACCATTTAATACCTGCTACTAAAGTTCTTCTCAAGTGTTTATAGTTTCTCCATAAACAACTGATTTTATGTAACTCCAAAAACGAAAACCTCTGAATTTTATCTCACATTTATGTATACGAGTATACAATTTAATTTGTAAGCTAAGATGTAATTTTAATTAGATACGAATAATACTTAATAGAAATTAGCATACAAATGACAGCAATAAGGCAAGTGGAAGACGTCAATTATTTTATTTCCGTTCAAATCCTACTTAAGAAACTTTATCGCTAAATTAATAATACCTGAAGGTACTTAATTGTAATTTAATGAAACAGTATTGGAAGTTTCAAAGCCAAATATCTCGAAAACGGTGAGATAGCTACTTTAATAAAGTATACCTTTTTTGTGTAAAAAAAGTTGAAAAATAAGAATTTGTTACCAAAGATGAGATACCTTAAAGTACAAAAAAGTTATGTCGTATTTAACACATTCAATCTACTGCAGCTAGCGCCCTCTATGAACTTTAACCGAAATGTGAACAGATTTCAATTCCTCTATTCAAAGAACTCTAATCCCCAAAATTTTGTGATGATATTTGCATTTGCAAGCAATAAATTTAAAAAAAACTGAAATAATATTTTACATTTAACACCCTGTATCTCTTTAACTATCAACTTTTGGACTAAGGTAAGTTCAGCTAAATCGCAATATTTTTACTTGGGGAATCTACCCATGAATTTTGGCCCATTACCTCGAGGCCACCCTTTATATACATTAACCAGTGGCGGAGGTACCGAAACAAGTTACTATCACAGAGAAGTCAAAAAATTTGGCGCCTTATATTTTGAAAATTCGGTCACTGCTTTTAATATCTGGTGGTGTTTCTAAAAAAAAAATTTCTTCTATTTCACTTGAAAAAAGATAATTTTCGACTTATTACTTTTTTGACTTGCATTATCGTTATCAAGCACCCCAGTGAATTTAAAATAACTGTAGGACCTACCATAAAAAAGAGTATAATTTTTTTTGTCTTTAATTAGGTCATTAATTAACCGAATTTTCATCATTCTACGTCAAACATCATCAGAGATATTTTAGAAAACGTAAAATTTGTGTGTTTCTTGAAAATTAAACGTTTCTGGACATTATCCATCATAACACTTGCCTCACTTGTTTTACCTAGCTGATTTCAAATCTTTAAGATTGGTCAATTATTCATAAAATATCCTGAATAAAATACATTATAAACAAATCACAATTGTCTGGATTGTTTGCCATATATTGTTGGGGTGGACCGAGCAGCCTCATCATCTAAATGGAAACTAGCATTGTACCTGCAAAATTCTAAAATAATGTAAAAACGCCTGCTATCGTATCCTAGGGTAAGAATAATATGTAAGACGACAGAGTCACAAAGTCTTCCACAAGCTGTACATAAAAGGCACCCTGTATATAAGACGCCCTGTAGAGGCGATGATTTTTAATTATAACATTTATTTTAGAACTATTTAATAGATCTAGAATAAGCATATCATTGTTGAAAATTTTGAGAGATGTACATCTAAGTTACCTGTAAATAAGAAATTTTGTACCTTTTACGAAAAATCGAGAACTTCTTCCTACTTATGGTCAATACTTTTGTTTTGTATTCCCGACAGTAACCGCTTCCCCTTTTAAGAAAAAGAACCTGTAAGATACACAGCTGCGATTGTACAAATGTTGTAGACTAGAGTCGATGAGTTCGTATTGATTATATTTTCCGCAATTATCACCACTGTTGTGTAAAGACAATAACTATTTTAGGAAAAAAAATGTGTAAAATTGTAAGAGCTTAACTACCTGTATATCTGTAACTGTTATTTTTAGGCTTTGTGCAATGTCAGCAAAAGAATTGGCTTTAACGAGTTCTGTAACATCTGTTTCAAATAAAAAAAATTGTTACTTAATCTACATTTTAATGTCATATGCATTGATTTATTGTTAAACAGCAACTGTTTATTTAAATGTAATAACAAATAAAACAAATGTTAAATTTAGTGTTCGCTCTTATTTTTGAACCACTACTTAATCAAACTGAATGGAAAAGATTAAAGAACCTGCACACTTCTTAATTATGAGATATTTGTAATAAAAATTTAAATAGATTGAAATTCACATGGCGTCTGTTTAATTTAATTACATGAAAAATTAAACATCAAAACATAAACTAATACACTTTTACGTCTGTATTAGTATAATAAACAATTATTATCTAAAAATCAGTGTTTATTTGATTTATACAGGGTGTTTTGGAAAAAGATTCCATAAATTCAAGAACTGATGGAATATCACGAAATAAGAAATAAGCTGCAGGTCGTCAAGGATCATTTTTTAAATTCAATTTTGGGCATAACTTCCAAACAGTAATGTAAAAAAATGATTGAAGGTGAAATATTTCACTTTTAGGCCGTCTGCTAGAGCTCGCTAGCTACAACCTTTCCCAGTGACATTTTATGGCATAACTTGTTTGAGGTTATTTATTTATATTATAATGTAAAATTTCGTTACATATACAAAAAAAAGTGTACTCATGTTAAAATTGTTGAAAACGCTTAGTTATAGAAGAAAAGTTTTTAATGAATCAAAACTACCATAATAATTTGATTTAAACCAGCTTATTTTCATTCTAGAAAGCTATACCCTTATAGTACGACCTATTCACTTTTAGACACGCTGTATATTGAAGCATAGAAATTTGTCGCCTTTGAGACAGAAGGGAAAATTTTTCGACCCGCTGTCCGTATAACTTCTTTGGCTTTGCGTCTTAGATATAAGTCTAGATTAGATCATGCTGCGTTATGCTCATAAGCTTTCTACATAATTTGTATATGTAATTAAATGCGCAGAATCAAATACTACCTACGCAGCAGTAATTTCATTTAGTTATTGAAGCAAGCAGTAATGGCAGTCCATATTCTGAGAGGTCAGTGTGGGTCAGTGCATGGAGACCACACAAGGGGGGCTTCCGTTTTGATAAAATTGTACCTATTAGCAACTAATATCAGTTCAGAGTAACTCTAAGTTACTATTAGCATCAATAGCTATTATTTTTGCCAAATCGAAAGGCCCTAAGGAATACGAACCCCACGTAAACAAATATCTTACCAAATTAGAGTGCGCTAGTGTCACATATGTACCGAAATAGTGGAGGGGAGATAAAGAAACCGGCACTTTGAATTAAAAATGATGATGATGATTAAGTGATGTGTTAAAAAGTTTAAAATAAATAATGTAGGCTACTTTGAATTAGATAAATATGTCCAGAAATAATGAAAATATGTCGTTGTACAAGGAACACTAGCGAGCCTAGCGGTAAAAACTATAATTTCTACTTTTACGTTGGCAATTTCGTCAATTTTCCTGAATAATTTCGTGTTCCTTGTCTAGTCTCCCTGGATCAGTGATTCTCTGCAATATTGTCAACTGTCATTTGCCTGTCTCATTTTTGACAACTTTCGAGATTGTGATAGAAAAAAGGTTATATCAGTATCATTTGTATAGGGGTTATATTGTGCCAGTCATCATATCACGACTTATTTGGAGCATTTTAAACAAAAGTTAACATGGGATCTGTAAGAGTAATAAACGACGAAGCTAATTTCCAAGCAGAGCTATCCAATGCAGCTGCCAGATTAGTAGTTGCCGATTTTACAGCTACTTGGTGAGTTAACCTACAAGTTGTAAGTTGTAAGATTTTTTTAATGTTTTGATGAATTTAATAGGTGCGGACCATGTCAGAGAATAGCTCCTGTATTCCAGCAACTCGCTGCTAAATATCCTAAGGCTGTGTTCTTAAAAATCGACGTCGATCAGTGTCAAGAAACAGCTGCAGCCCAGGGAGTTTCTGCTATGCCTACGTTCATCTTTTATAGGAACAAGGTTGGTTTTTTAATCTGTATAAGTTATTTCTATTACACAAAAAAATAATGCTCTTTTCAGACTAAAGTGGATCGATTACAAGGTGCGGATGCCACAACCCTAGAAAATAAAATCCAGCAATATTATGGGTCTGAGGAAAGTGAAGATGCCGAGGGAGTGGCTGGACACGTAAGTAGGTATAATACTTCTTATTACTTGTATGGCGTATTTTAAATCTATTTTAGATGGACTTGTCGCCTTTTATTACTAAATCCCAAAGCGAATGCTTAAATGAGAGTGATGATCACCCTTTTGCGCATTGTCTTACTTCAGAAGGAGGATATTTACAATCTGATTGTGATGAACAGGTATGCCATCACAAAATCGCTTGTGCTTTTTAACATTCTTTTTGATTAATTAATCTTTTTATTTCTATTACAGCTAATAATTTCTATTGCATTTAATCAAGCTGTGAAGATACATAGCTTGAAAATTAAGGCACCGGCCGATAAAGGACCCAAACATATTAGGATTTTCATTAATCAACCCAGGACGTTGGATTTTGATTTGGCTGATAGTTATACTAGTATCCAAGACTTAGAGTAAGTAAAGTTATCACTACTGATGATTAAGGTTTAAGATAAATTTTATACACTACCGTACAGTAGCATACACTGAGTGTATGCGCCGCATGCTGTCGTGTCTACTTTTCCAGTAATTTACATAATGAGTGAAGAACAAAATGTTATTATTTATGAAAAAAGTCAATTCTGGCACAAAACTACAGGTAAGTTTTTACAGAGATGTCCATCAAATTTTACAACATGTCTTGCCCGAAATACAACTTATTCTAATAGACCAAGAAAGGAAACATTTTGAAATTTATTAATTACTGGGCGTGATTTTATTGTTGGAAAGTCTTGGGAATGATAATACAAAAGGCGTCTCATCAAATGGGTCATGAAAAAAGTATAGCGTCATTGTTTTTTTATCAGCATATAGGTCAAAAATTCGTCACTTTTTGTTCTACACGTTATTGTAAAAAACTATTAATCTTAGCAAAAAAAGTTCAATAGACGATTTGATCTAGAGAAACTCATCTTTAAAATGAGACTTTATAAGTTAAAATTTCTTTATAAACAAAAAAGTTATTGCAAAATTAAATGGAAAAAGTTCCTTTAATTGTTAATAACTTTTTAAATAATACAATCTTACCAAACTTTCCCAAAATGTGAGTTTCTATATCCTTAAGAGATGTGCAAAAGATGGGCTCGATCAGTCAAATAGTTTTTGCAAAATTCCATTTATTTATCCCATTTTGCAAAAAAGGCCCGTTTTCAAGTGACTATTCTGGGGACAGGGTTATGACTAATACTTTCTTTTTGGGCTTGGTGTCCCTTCGAAGAAAATGAGCCCAAAAAGAATGTTTTAGTCATAACCCTGCCCTCGGAATAGTCATTTGAAAATGGGCCTTTTTGCAAAAATGGGATAAATAAATGGAATTTTGCAAAAACTATTTGACCGATCGAGCCCATCTTTTGCACATCTCTTGAAGCTATAAAAACTCACATTTTGGGAAAGTTTGGTAAGATTTTATTAATTATTTAAAAAGTTATTAACAAATAAAGAAAAAGCATTTTTTCCCCATTAATTTTGCAATAACTTTTTTGTTTATAAAGCAATTTTAAATTATAAAGTCTCATTTTAAAGATGAGTTTCTCTAGATCAAATCGTCTGTTGAACTTTTTTGCTAAAATTAATAGGTTTTTTTATAATAACGCGTAAAACAAAAAATGATGACTTTTTTACCTATTTGTTGATAATAAACAATGACGCTATACTTTTTTCATGACCCATTTCATGAGACGCCTTTTGTATTATCATTCCCAAGACTTTCCAATAATAAAAACACGCCCAGTAATTTTTACGAGTTCTCCATGATTTTTCATCTTTATTTCTTGGTCTATAAGCAAAGAGAATCTCGTTTGATACTTAATTATAATAGCTAAGTGCATAGAAATTTTAATTCTTGTTGAATGCAGAAATAAAAGTAGCTAAATGTATACAGAGCCTTCGCAAATGATTACAGTAAGCCATGTGACCAGTAATTTTGTTTGGAATTTTATTTCCTTCATGTTGACATTTAAATTTCAGTAAAATTAAAACGATAAGATCACAATTACATTAAAACACAACATTCTGTTTCACTGGCCGTGATTGGTGTAATTCTTCACGAGATTGTATTCAACCAATCAGCGATCGCATTATCTTGAACGTAGACATAGTGGTTTGTTACTGTTCATTGTAAACAGATCATTAATATTGGTCATAACAATTTGCGTAATGCTGATTTTCAATTATTGCAACAATCATTTTTACCTCCTTTTCTGTCAGACTTTTATTATAATTTTTTCTAAGACGTCTTGTTAAAATTTTTCGATCGACGCCCTGTATATATTTTTTTCAGCTTAACTCCCGAAGATTTAGAAGGCAATCCAGTCAATTTAAGATACGTGAAATTCCAGAATGTTCAGAATATCCAATTCTTTGTGAAAGACAACCAGTCTGGGGGAGAGGTTACGCAGCTAGACCACCTAGCGATTATCGGATCGCCTATCAGCACCACAAATATGGGAGATTTTAAAAGAGTAGCAGGAAAGAAGGGTGAAAGCCACTAGGAAATGTCCTTTATTTAAATGATATTTAACAAGAAAACTCGTATTGAAATGAAAACTTTAATTTTGAATAATACACCAAAAATAAAAAACTGATGTCGAGTCTAAAAAAATTATATTTCTTGATTTTTATAATCCCTTATAGTATAACAAGATTAAACAATAAAGATTTATAAAGTAATCGTTTCTTTTAAAATTTACCGACGCTACCTTCGACTTTTCTGCCTTTTTATACTGTTCTCCAGAGATTTGACATTATCCTGTGTTTCCTTTTTAATTTCCTTAATTTCTTGTTTAATGGCTTCATTTTTAAATTGCATCTCTTTGAGCTTTTGAGCGTGTTCTTCCTCTTCTTCCTTATCCTCGTCGAATAGAGTCCTGACGTTCATCAATCTTGACTGTTTCGAAGCCAAAGAAAAATTAAATTTGTAATTGATTTTTTTCCGATTCTCAAAAATGGACAGTAGTCCCCAGTTCGACGTTTTGCTCTCTTGGGATTCCAACATCCAAGCTGCATTCCTTGATTCCTCTTTGAACCTTTCCACTTCTTCTATACTGACATTCTTGCTAACGTTCAACCCTCTCTCCAAAGGATTTATGATGTACATAGCACTGAATTCTGGCTTTGTGAGGGCTACTGCTTCATTTAGACATACTGCTTTTGCTGTAAAGTCGAATTGAGAGTAATACTCAAAGAACTCTGAAAGTAAAGACTCCAGCGTCTCGATATTTTTCGTTTTGGCTTTAAATTTGTTTAAGTCTCTTAAAAATGAACAGTTTACGCCATCTTCCGTGATGTATTTGTCACTTGACCCTAGAAAGTAGTGTTTTTTTACTTTTGTCTTTTTTTTTGCATTAAGACTATTTCCATTCTTTATTATTCGATATAATACAGTATGAAGATAAACTCAGTGCGTGAAAGTACAAATAAGTCGAAAACAGTAGTAGGCTATTGATTGTCATATGGTATGGAGCTACAACGTTTATGGGTTTTTATTGCTTGAATTGTTGAAATGGTTATTTAGAATGAAAAAACCGTTAATTGTAGCTCGAAAACGAAGGAAAATTCCGCTATAATTCAGCAAAAATTATTTAGAGAATTAAATTTTCCATCGAAATAGCTTATTTAAAACATTTAAAAGGAAAATTTTATGCAAAATAATCGTTAATAAACAATTTTAAAGAAAGCAAAAAATAAGATTTTCTTATTTTTTTTACTTTTTTAATAAAATAATTTAGTAAAAACTTGAGAACAATAAAGTTTATTAATAATGTATATATACAGTGTGTCCACGGATGAAGTTGACAAGAGGAGAAATTATTTTGTTTTTGACTATCGAAAAATGTCACTATAAAAAGTTCTGCCCATCGATAAAATGAGATTGTCATACAAACATCTTAGATTAGATGTAAAGGGTGCTCATAAATTAAAAAAAAAACACGAAAATACTCGAGAGAAGTACCATTATTATTTTACACAACATTTTTATAGAACAAATCTATTCCAAAACATCAATTAATGTCTTCATACAAATTTTTATTTTTATTTTAAAATTTGTATTAGGACATTATTTGATGTTATAAACAGATTTGTTCTATAAAAATGTGTAAAATAATAAATAATGGTACATCTCTCTTGAGTATTTTTGTTTTTTTTTTTAATTTATGAGTACCCTTTACATCTAATCTAAGATGTTTGTATGACAATCTCATTTTATCGAGGGGCAGAACTTTTTATAAAGAGTGACATTTTTCGATACAGTCAAAAACAAAATAGTTTCTCCTCTTGTCAACTACATCCGTGGATACACTGTATATATACATATTAAAAAAACTTTATTGTACTTAAATTTTCAAGTTTTTACTAAATTATTTTATTAAAAAATTTAAAAAAATCAAAAAATCTTATTTTTTGCTTTCTTTAAAATTGTTTATTAACGATTTTATGCATAAAATTTTCCTTTTACATTTTTTAAATAAGCCATTTCGATGAGAAATTCAATTCTCTACAAAATTTTTTCTATGAATTATACCAAAATTTTGCGTCGTTTCCGTGTTATATTTAAAAAACTGCAAAAGAGCATTTTTACCACTATCTTCAATTTCAACCCTCTAATTTCATAGCATCCCGCGGTTTTTTCATTTTTAATGACCCTTCGAACAAGTATGTGATGAAAATCCTTGAACGCTTTATTTCCTTCCTTTTTTGCAAAAAATGAGAATTAAAATGTATAAAGGTAAACGTGACGAAAATCGAAAAATTGGCTATGTTTGAGCGGGCATATACCAGTCAATTTTCATCCAAAAATACTCTACAACCTCTTGGTTTGAAGGAAATTTTATATGCTTTTTTTCTATGAAGCAATGCCTATACCCATCTCTGTTCAGAAAAAAGTTATTTGCCTAAAAGTAAAAAAAACAAAAAATTTAATTTTTTGCATTTTCTTGTTAAATTGTTTTTAATATATTTTGCAGTAAATAAATTTTTTAAAGACCCTGCAATAATCTTATGGAAATTGGGTTACAGCAGTTTGGTCTGAATTTTTGGTATGTTGTAGCCCTAACCATACTGATCTAAAGTCCCAATGGGCGCTACCCACATACTTCGATCTATCGGAAAGAAGTATGTGGCGCTACCTCCCAAATGGCGTATTTTCGCCGCTAGGGGGCACTGAAAGTCGCCCAAAAGCCAATTCATTTAAAAACTGCAGATTTTTCGCAATAACATTATGGAACTTGGGCTTCAGCAAAATGGTCTGAATTGTTGGCATGGTATAGCCATAACCACTCTAACAAAAGCCCCAATGGGCACGACCCCCCATACTGTGTGTTTTTGCCACTAAGGGCATTAAAACCCCCCAAATTCTATTTGTTCAATTTCAGCGGCATCATTTAGAATTTTTGATATGTTGCAGCCCTAATCGTACCAATCAAGATTCCCAATTGACACGACTCCCCAAATGGCATATTTTCGCCGCTAGGGGGCACTGGAAAACCCCCATAAGCCTATTCATTTGACAAATACAGCTTTTTCGCAATAATCTTATGAAACTTGGGTTTCAGCGAAATGGTCTGAATTTTTTAACTCTTAGATTAGCGCGAGAAGCTTCCTCACTACTATCTCCCTCCCGTTTCTTGCAAAGAAGGGATCAACTAAACGAATTAACAACTAAAATGTTTTAATTCAACCAGCTTTTGCTTTAGTTAATTCGTTTAGTTGATCTCTTCTCTGCAAGAAACGGGAGGGAGATAGTAGTGAGGAAGCTTCTCGCGCTAAGAGTTAAAAAATTCAGATCATTTCGCTGAAACCCAAGTTTCATAAGATTGCGAAAAAGCTGTATTTGTCAAATGAATAGGCTTATGGGGGTTTTCCAGTGCCCCCTAGCTGCGAAAATACGGTATTTAGAGAGTCGTATCAATTGGGAATCTTGATTGGTATGATTAGGGCTGCAACATATCAAAAATTCTGAACGATGTTGCTGAAATCGAACGAATAGAATTTGGGGGGTTTTAATGCCCTTGGTGGCAAAAACACACGGTATGGGCGGTCGTGCCCATTGGGGCTTTTGTTAGAGTGGTTATGGCTATACCATGCCAAGAATTCAGATGGTTTCGCTGAAGCCCAAGTTCCATAATGTTATTGCAAAAAATCTGCAGTTTTTAAATGAAATTGGCTTTTGGGGGACTTTCAGTGCCCCCTAGCGGCGAAAATACGCCATTAGGGGGGTCGTGCCCATTGGGACTTTTAATCAGTATGGTTAGGACTACAACATACCAAAAATTCAGACCAATCCGCTGAAAACCAATTTCCATAAAATTATTGCGGGGACCTTTTGTAAATAAGCTATTTCGATAGAAAATCTATAAAATTTTTCGTATGCAATACCCTTAAATTTTGCTTCGTTTTCGAGATATACTCAAAAACCGTAAGGGTTGCATTTTCACCCCCATCTCCAATTTCCACCCTCTAATTTAATAGCACTCCGCGGTTTTTTCTTTCTGAATAACCATTTGAACGATTCATGCAATAAAAACCCATCAACGTTGTAGTTCCTTAGTACCCTGCTTTTTAAGACATAATCAATAGCCTATAAGGTTGTATAAACAAAGTCATAAAATATTTGTCTCTGCTCACCTGCCAATTTTACTAAAGTATTCAGAGATGGCAGCACTGGTGGAGAATGTGGCGGCTTCTGAAGAAAAGCCAGAACTAGTAGGGTCAACGAAAAATTTGTCATCCACCTACCCGGCGAGGCATTCGTCAGGCCCACCTCTTTTGCCCATTTTCGTATAGTGAAAACTAGAGGTCGTACTCTGTCGTCTAATTCTCCCATTATGTACAGGAAGTCGGACATGTGAACACCGCTCCTGCAAAAGTGGTATAAATTTCAGATTTTAATGATTAGTAAAGACGTGAAATGTTTTTAAAAAACATTCTATTAGTAGATCTCATATTATAAACGTATTAAATTCAAATTCAAAATGGTTTTTCTATAATAGTGTTATTAAATGATGTCCAGAATGTCCAGAAATCTAGGCATGCAGAAAATATCTAACCCCCACAGATAAGATTCCTAAATGTTAATACTTATATTCAACAACCAGCGCCGGACTGGCCATAGGGAAAACTCCACGAAAGGGCCGCTTGGCCCAACATTTAATTAGATATATTTCAAAAGTTTGAAACTCTTTTAGAATGGAAAGTAAAAAAAAAATCAAATTTTAGTCTCTTTTTAAACTGTTTTTTTTTTGAGACAATTTATTTAAGAGACATGCAAGTTTGCAAAACCGCAAACAGGCGTGAATTAAACTCTAATAGGCAGGGAGAAGCTAGTAATATATAGTAAAACCTATAGTATCAATACTATAGTAAAACCATAGGTAGGTAGGTAAACCTTAAATAGGCTGGGGAAAGCGAGTTCAAGTCATAAAAGGCATAAAACCGTATTACTCCTAAAATCACCTGCCTTTGAAGAACTTGGTGAAAAATTGGAATTTTTTAATCCAGATACTCCAGAAAAATTAAATCGTCACGTTTGGGAGAGTACGATCAAAATGACGACGTGGATAATAGTGATATTGCACTTTTAACCGGTAATGACGATGATGACGATGTTAGTCAGGATGGCGACATAGATGATGATGAAATTACCTCGAATGTTAAAGACAATCAAAGTAAAGAAAAACAAAAAAAATCTTGCAGACTGTGCTGTGTGCTGCTATAGAAAGTATAATCTTCTGACGGGCACTTATCCAACGCTTAGTTTAGCATACAAATATGTCCCAACTCTTTCTTTTACGCAGATGGCTTGTGAGCGATCGTATAGTATTTTAAAATTTATCAAAAATAGGTTGCGAAATTCCATCGGACAAGAAAAATTAGAAGCCTTTATACTTATGAACTCTGAAAAAGATATCTTAAACAAGATCACGAATGACGGAGTAATTGACTTACTAACTTCAAAACATCCAAGTTTTAGAAATAAGCTTTAACTATAATATTATTTTCAGATTTGTCAGATATATTTATTTAATCGAAATTGCTGAAATGATTAAAATTAAGTTCGACATGTATGTTATTCTTTTGTATACTATTAGGTCAATACATATGATTTAACAATACGCTTTCCTTGGCTTTCGTACAAATAATTGTGGTTTATTCTAGAATTAAGTTCTTAGATTACAGCTCTCATATTTTCATGTCCTATTTTATACAAAATCGTATTCTATGGTTCAAGCTTGATGGATCTAGAAAAGTCTCTAGTAAAAAGTTACCAGGTAAAGCGCTTAAAAGTAGTCAAATGCAAGGTAAAATTATCTACTGAAAAAAATACAAGAAATCATAAACTAATTGGAAAACTCGACATAAATAACGACTATTTCAAAACTGTACACCAAAAAAACCCGTTTCCTTTTTACTATGGCAAGCCAAGTCAGTTTAGAATTTTTTAGGGCCGCTGGTTTGAAAAATTCCCGGGCCGCTTTTTTCTCCCAGTCCGGCGCTGACAACAACAACACTATAGTCTCAAAATATCATTCGTTCTAAATGTTTTCTTTTTGTAAATAATTTTTTAAGGAAATTTTTAATTTAATGCCTTCTTAACCCTAGAACACTGTTGCTATTTTGTGCCGCATAATACTGTTGACATGTAAAATTTATGTACTAGCAAAATGCAAGTTACAATGTAGAAATATTTTAGTATTATTTAAATAAAAAGCAGAAAAAAGCCACATAGCACAGATGACTTATTAATAAAAAAAAATGAATATGATTAGGTAATATGGGTATGATTTTTAATACGTCAAAGCAAAAGTATAAGTGCTAGTAATAGAATATGTTTTTTTAAATAAATTTAGTAAAAAGTGCAAGTATTAGGTAAAAAAACAATTCATATTAGTTTAGTCATATACATACAATATTGCCACTGTCATTTCAAAATGTAAGTTTTTCTATAAGTTTTGTGTTTTTTATATAGAATTTTGCTAGATATTGCTGGTGTAATCCAATGCAAGTCAGGGCACGTAGCCCATAGGGTAGTTGTATCCCACAATTTGATCAGGTTTATTATTTAAAAAAAATGTTATAAATTTGTTTGGACTAGATCAATACCTTTAAAATAGAGTAAAAATAAAAACTTGTCAAATGTTCTGTATATAGGGTGACTAGAAAGTCGACATATTTCGTTGGGTGTAATAGTGAAGTTAAGGTTTCTGTAAAATATAAAAGTACCTCTTAGGTACCATAATAATGGTAATAATAATTTAGACAAAATTGAAGTTAATTAGTCTTTATTGCAGGTGTGCGGAATAAACATATATAGTAAATTATAATCAAAATTCCTAACGTTGCCTAATGAAATTATTATCATTTTTGTAAAAAAAAATACATCTCAAAATGATAAAGATTGAGGAAACCTCCAGGGCTTAAAATAAAAATAATAAACTGAACAAAAATTGTGCAATACAGACATATAAAACTTTTGCATTATTTTTGGTTTTCCAATTGTTCCAAATCAAAACTGTTATAATTATTAAACAGAAAAGAAAGTCAATGGAGTATTTACATAAAAAAAATGTGTATTTTTTTAATGCTCGGTGTTTCATCCACATTGACATCAAAAAGTGTATAGTGATTATTTGATAAATTATGTAAAATTTTTAATTTTTTTTATAAATAGAATGTTTTTTTCTGTTCGGTGCTTCGACAACAGTGATATAAAAAAAATATGGTAACTTTAAAATAACGCGTCGCTAAATTATATAAAAGCAATCTGTTTTACTAAATTATTTTTTATTGTAACTTCGCACAATATAGACTGACTTAAAGACAACTGGCAACACAGTTAGTGCACGAATATGTAAATTCCGAGTGCCCCGGTTTACACCACCCAGTGGCGGCGTATACAAGAATTCAAGTGCAGTTTAAAGTACTAATTATAACTACATTACGTATTTGATAAAAAAAAAAGAATTTCAGATTCGTATTCAGAAGAACATGTACCCCTAGAAAACTGACATGACATAATATTACCTATTTGTTCAACTCACATATTTGCCATTGATAAATCACATTCAACATCAGTCAGCTGTTGATGGTACTTGATAATGGGCACCCTAGCTTGCAGTATCCTGCGTACTTGTGAACAGCCGGGAAGGAATAAATGAATTAAATCTCCAATCGCTTCCATATGTCTTTGATTTGTGCTTCTTTCTGAACCAGAAGGTGCCTTGCTGTGGAATACAAGCCTACTTTCCGCGTTATCCTAACCAAATAAAAGACATTTTTTTTAGAATATAAATTAATAAAGAAAATAATATTTACTTTTTTATCAAGAAGTCGAAGTACAAGATCCAAATCACAACCCATCCTTCCGTATCCATTTACAGAGGAGCCAAATGGATACACACAGACGTAAGGAAACATGCTGGAAAACGTACTTTCGATTTGTCTTGCTGTTAGAAATCTTAACCTACTTCCGACATCGTTCAATTTGGTTATACTATGTAATATCTTCATTTGTTCCGACATCTGCATAATTAAAAAAGTATCAAATTAGTAAATGAATTTTCATATTCGACTTACACTTTCACATTCTTTTAATTTATCTCTAACCACATTCTCCATAACTATTTCGGTACCATTTTCAGTGGAAAGTTTGGCTGATTTACTTTGTTTTAATTTTCCTAATTTTCTGTTGCAAGCCCTAAACCATAAAAATTGTGACTGTGTGGGAACTGCTTGAATGTCTTCAACGTAAGAACTTGTGGATAAAATATTTGTCACATCAGATTCTTTAGAAAACTCAACTATTATAAAATGCTGGAAAACAACAATCAGTAATCGAAATGAGAATAAAATAGGTAAGTAATAACCATTGGCTCCACTCCTGTTGTATAATGAAACATATTTCTTACTGTGCCAATTGAACTGCAATAGGTGTGCAACTCTTTATACGATAGGGCAGACTGTACCTGTACCAGAATACTTCTTCTAGCTTCAGCTCGCTTCAAGTCAATCCTTTCCAAAAAAGGTATAAATTTATCATTTTCTGATGTGTTAACATCCTTCTTACCTGCAAAATATTTATTTAATTGCTGAATGGCCTAACCTAACCTAACCTTAACTTCTTACTTTCTTGTGAATATCTTCGAATACCCCTTACTTGTTTAAACTGATAGTTTTTTAAACTGTGGTTTAAAATATTATTTAAATTCGTATACCTCCACTTAAAAGCACAACAATAAAAAAAATTGTACATTTTTTGGAACTAAGAACTAAGACAGGAAATAGTCTTCTGTTCGACCCAAAATAAAAAGGGCTGCGGTGCAGTCGTATTTTTTTAATTAATTAATTAAATAAACCAAACTCCCTCTTTACAATTACATTTACTAAATAATCTTCATTCTTCAATAAATAGTAGAATGATATAATGATTATTGTAATGCAGCAACTGAACATTTAAAATGCTCTTCAAAAATTTTTAACCTTTTTTTGACAAAATTAGAAAACAAATTCCACTTGTCGAAACTGATAAATACTAATTGTTTGTTGTAGTGAACATAATTCAGTTTCAATAATAATGCTATATTTTCGAAATTATTTATCTTATCGCCTCATATAAGGCTTTTTTTCGCGACTGAATATTGGTGAATATCTGATTTGTAGTTACTATTTCTATCTCTTTTGATCTTAGTTGTCCTGTGGTAGTTTAAATCTCTTCACTCTCATCCTACAACATACGACTTCACTCGCGAAAAAAAGCCTATAAATTGAGAATTGAGGAGACAGTTTATCAGTTTTAGTGACGCTATACATTTCACAATAACTATTTAATTCGAATAGAAACTTGAGGTAAGGTATGGTATAATTATAATTTGTGATTATTAACGTTTCTAAACCTATCTAAAGGCGAAAATACCAAACCTCAGTTAAATACTATAAATATTAGTAGTTAACCGCGTTACATCGGCTTTCTCGCGAAAAAAACGCTCAGCGCATGTTACTTGTTTTTTGATTTGCATTTTAATATTTTAGGTTAGGTTAACCATGAAATTATGAAAATAATATATTTATATTTACTATTTACCTAATATCTGAAATATGAGTCACACTCCAAAGAAGGAAAATACAGTTCTTAAAGAAAATGAATACTCTCCTGTGATATGTAATAAATTTGAGTACCATATAGACATCATTTAATGATGTATTTTGAATTAATTCTAGTACGACAAACTCCAGGAGCTTCTCAGAAAAATCTAACGGGTCCACCTAGAGTAGCCAGAGATATAGTAGCAGATCTCTACAATAATATACAACATTGGAATGACAGCCACATAAAAGGAGCACAAATAGTTAAACAGATAGCTATATTAAAATCTGAAGATCATAGAAATTATTCACCTCAATTGGAAGAATATACAAATGACTTATTTAGTGTTGTGCTAAGCTTAGACATATATAGAAAGCATTTTGAACACTACAATACACAAATTAAAGCTGTATCGAAGCTTGAAAAAAATTCTGAGCCTATTTTTATTTCTCTTAATGCTACTGCTCTAGCAAATGCTGTTATTGATATAGCCAATGCCTACATTGCAGAATTTAAGGTACAGTTAGTATTGAACTATTTTCTAATTGTAAAAATGTATTTTTTTAACATTTCTATTACAGTTGAAGAAACTTGTTCTAGAAAATATTGCTCATTCAAAAAATAAGCATGAAGCAATGTTCTATGCTGCTTGTTGGGCCCACCAGACTCGCATTACTAGTAGTATAAATGTAACATTAGAAGCACTGCTGGTAGAGACAGGATTCCGACCAATAAATTGAATAGTTCTATGTATTAGAATTAGATAGTTTCACCAATCAGTATATTCAATAGATTTTTTTTCATAAACAATGAAAATAATATATTTTTTTGGCAACCATTTTTTTTACAAATACTACCCTGAAGGAAGGTTATATTCTACTATTATTTTATTGATGTAACAAAAGTCTGCTTACTATTTTTTTTAAAGGGTGTTTTTTCCAGAAAGTTGTATTAGGCATTTTTTTATCAAAAAGATAATATATACCAGGCTATTCAACATCCATCAAAATACCCATATTAGACCGATCAAAATAACTCATTTAGAGGAGAAAAAAAAAGAAAATTGTTACCTGGACTTTTATAAGTGGAAATGGTAAAGGGGCTTATAATCACAAAATATGTAATAGACTTATAATAAACGAAAAAAAAAAATAAATGCGTGAGCAGGGGCGGCGGAGGGTTGATTTGGGGGGTTGAAATGTTATGAAAAATTTTATCATTAGGATTTCTGGCGAAAGTTGACGTCAGACAAAAAAGTATCTAATACAAAAGTTGTAGATCATGCAAAAATCTACAACTTTTGCAGAAGTCATTTTTTAATATAACCTCAAAATTTCCGAGAAAAAATGCGAAAAACGGGCATTTTTATGATTTTTCGTTTTTTATTTCTCATTTCCGCAAAAATAATTTAATTTTGACGAAACTTGGTGAAAATATACCTTTCTTTGTCTTAAATAACCTCAATTTTTTTAGATACAAAAATCAAGAAGTTTCTGATATTCATTTTTTTCGGCCTGAAACACTTTTTTTTCAAAGAAAAATTCTACTTAAAAAAATCATCGTACAGAGTTTTGTCGGTAATAATTTTTTTCGTTTTGACATAATTTTTTGGTAAAATAAAAAAATTTGTAATCACAGTTCAAAAATAGTCCAAAATGCAAAAAAGTAAAAAATGACTTGCAGCAATGAATTTTTCAGTAATTGTTGATAATTTGTTTAAATTTTAAAAAAATCAAAAACTGATTACACCATTCAGTTGTACGGAAAAAATTAAAAAAAACTCTCATTGTTTGACCTAAAACTATTTTTGTACAGTATTGCTATAAACATAAGTCGAATAGTGAATAAATAAAATAAAAAATTTTTCGGTAGGATCGATTAGTGTATTTTTTTTTTTTTAATTTGATGAATTCATAGATATACAGTGTGTTTTTATACCTAACAATATGCTGTTTAGAAAGTTTTAAAATTCCGGGTAGTTCCGGAAATATCCGAAAAACCCAAAATTTTGCAAAATTGTTTAATTTTTTCTGGCTTTATTTTAAAATTACATATTCACAATGCCACTTTTTTCGCTCTATACAATGGCGCAACATTTTTGCAATCCGACGTTTCTTCTTCGAGGGGCCATCATTGGGTTAATTTTTTAAAATAGGTCTGCTATTTTTATGATAAAATCTAAAGTAATTTTTAATTCTGAATTAGAGCATATTACTATATTGTAATCACTTAAAAAGTTTTTAGCTATAATGCTTTTAGCTTGTTTTAGCTATAATAATTCAAAATTTTTTTCCGAGTACCGCTCTGAACGCTTTCAAAATATCTATTGGATGAAGTCATATAACAGTATAAAAGTCAATACCGCACAAAATATCCAACGATTTTTTACTACTGTTAGCAATACTAATTAGAAATAATAAAATATTTCATAAATTCGTATTATTTTTTTATTAAGTACAACTTTTTAAATTATGGATTAAAAAAATTGTTGGATATTTTATGCTGTATTGACTTTTATTCTCTCTCTCTCAGCGATATATTTAAAAAAATTAATCTGATGATGGCCCCTCGAAGACGAAACGTTGGATTGCAAAAATGTTGACGCCATTGGATAGAGCGAAAAAAGTGGCTATGTAAATATGCAATTTATTTAAAATTCGTTTTAAAATGAAGTCAGAAAAAAAAAGATTTTGCAAAATTTTGGGTTTTCGGATTTCGTGTCAACAGTAGACTTTGTAGTTAATACTTTGTACTGCTGAAATCTCAAGTCATCCAGAGATAACTTATCATTTGTGCATTTGTAATTCGACTTAGATGTTTATAGCAATACTGTACAAAAATAAAATTTTGGGTCAAACAATGAGTTTTTTTAAATTTTTTTCCGGTAGAATTGAATGGTGTAATCAGTTTTTGAATGCTTTTTAATTTAAACAAATTATCAACAATAACTGAAAAATTCATTGTTGCGTATTTTTTTTTTTTTTGGATTTTTGAGCATGTTTTTGAACTTTTATTACAGATTTTTTTATTTCACCAAAAAGTATATGTCAAAACGAAAAAAATTATTACCGGCAGAACTCTGTACGATGATTTTTTTAAGTAGAATTTTTCTTCGAAAAAAGTGTTTCACACGAAACGAAAAAAATGAATATCTCAGAAACTTCTTGATTTTTTTATCTAAAAAAATTTGAGGTTATTTAAGACAGAGAAAGGTATACTTTCACCAAGTTTCGTCAAAATTAAATTAATTTTGCGGAAATGAGAAATAAAAAACGAAAAATCAGAAAAAAAACTGTTTTTCGTATTTTTCTCGGAAAATTTGAGGTTATGTTAAAAGTGACCTCTACAAAAGTTGTAGATTTTTGCATGATCTACAACTTTTGTATTGGATACTTTTTTGTTTGACGTCAACTTTCGCTAGAAATCCCAATAATACAATTTTTCATAACTTTTCAACCCCCCAAATTAACCCTCCGCTGCCCCTGCTCACGCATTTCTTTTTTTTTTTTTCGTTCATTATAAGCCCTTTTACCATTTCCACTTATAAAAGTCTGGGTAACAATTTTTTTTTCTCGAAGTGTAATTTGGTTGGACTATATACCAAATTTGAACCACAATCTATTGTCTATTGAGCGTTTGTTGGGTATCATACTTCGAAAAATCAGACAACTAAAAATTGCAATAAGCAGATCAAACATTGCCATGAAAGTGAAAACAAGTACCAATTGAACAAGAAAAAATACACGCACTATAAATTCAACACTTAATTGCGGCCACAGTAAAAATGATGTACAAAAAATGTGGGTTTGAGGAATATTTATTTTTTAAAAAATAGTAGGCCAGGCTTTTGTTACATCAATAAAATGATAACCTCCCTTCAGGGTACTATTGTAAACAAACTGGCTTGCGGAAAGTCCACAGCCTTCTTGCATTTACAGATGTGTTAATCTGAAAAATGGGATGCACTGTATATCTTGAAAGGGTAAGAAGTTAAACAAAAAAACAATTGATTTTTTATTTAAAATATATCCAGTTCAGATTTATTACATTAAAAAATGTAGCAAACTCCTTTAAAACTATAACAGTTTATTATTACTTTTAAAAAATTTTTATATTACTTACATATTTAATAAAATATCATTGATTAGAAACACAAATTAAATAGTCTGATTCTAAATGGTAAGGTAAATAACTATAAAACTGATGTTGTAAGAAGAAAAAACTAGTGTGTAATTAAATATACACGAAAAATGATACTTATCTCATCAGATCATTTGACTAGACAAAAAATTTTTTTTTCTTACAAAATAGCTGCAAACAAGTTTAACAGGTACTTTAAGAACATTTAAATAACATAAGAAATAAATTATCGAAATAATAAAATAATTATTCCCTCATAACATATATGTACAATAGTTATTAAGCGTACTTCTTCTAAAAATATTTTGGGCATGTTTAGAGTGAATAGAACTCCTCATCTTCAGTCTCACAGAATCCATTCGAAAACAAATGAATATTAGAGGGAGGTGAAGCGTAGGTTTCATCGATGAATCCAGAGGCAAGTAGTTCCTCAAAATCGATTTGCTCTTCAAAATCTTCTGCCGACAAATCAGCAGATTCGCAATACCTATATAAAATAAATAAGTATTTAACAAGGATAAACATAATTCTAACAATAACACTGCTTTTATATTTATTTGTTTCTTATAGTTTTTGAATTTACTGTTTATTATACTACTAAATATAACAAAACGAGGAAATAAACTTACAATTAAATTTTTTCTGTTCGGAGAATATTTATAATAAAATAACAAATACTTTTATAATTCTTCCCATTTGCATCCCCAAGAAAATTCACCACCTATAAAAACAAAATTGTAACACAAGCAGCTTAATTTTAATTATTAGTAGGTATCTATCAGTTTTAGTAGTAGTGTTATTGTTGTAGCTATTAATTGTGCATACACAAACAAGCAAAAATGTAATTGATAAAGGACTTACTTATTTAGGAACTGGTCCATCTCTTCATAGAGAGCGATATGTAGAATTGCAAAGTTAGTCGCCTTGTACATTTCAACAAGTTGGTTCCATCTTTCTTCGCACATTTTTGCTGAAAAATAAAAAAATTGCAATTTATTACATCGTAAAAAATAGAATCAAAATATTGATCTCTTTTTGTTTTTAAACCAGTAATTGTATATTTATCCCAAGCCTATATTTGTATAAAATTGTATTGAAGATGTATTGTTTTAAGTCAATAAATGAATCATTCAGCTAGATCATTGACTTGCATGGCATGACCTTGACTTATTTGGCATTCATTAGAATTCAATGAGATTTAAAAAATGTTGCTTCACGTTTGAGAAGTTTTAATACATGACGTCAACTGCGGAAAGAATTACCTAGGTTTCCATTTCTATGAAAATATTTCGTACAAATTTCCTAAAGTAAAAAAATATATATACGATAGGTACGAAAAAGGTCTTTATAGAACTAACTTTTAATATGTACTATTCTCAATTTTATCGCTTATAATCTCTTTATCTATTCATAATTTTTATCTGTACATTAAAACCATTATTTTTTATTTTGAATTATTTCCTAAAATGTAGGTTCTCAGATTTTAAGGATTAAGTAGGTAGGTACTGAAAATATACATATTATATGTAATAACGTTTCATTGATTTTTGTCAATACAATTTAAAAAATGTTACCATGTAAATTGAAGTATCCAAAACAATGTGTTTTAGGCAGCAGGTTTTGTCTATAATTAAGCATTAATCATTTGGAATTAATGGATGATGCAATCTTAACTAGGTACGCCTGTCTTTTTATACACACTTCAGAGATAATTATTT